AGTATTGGTTTGGGGGTTGGGGAGCAGAATTAATTGCTGGTGATGAGACCTCCTCTTTTTTTTAATTGTTTTGCCTACCACTTCAAGCACTGATTACAGCCAAGTCCTGTCTCTCCTCTGTGGCCAGGAATAACATACGTTTCATTTCTGGTGTCTTTGTTGAGATTTCTGAATTTCTTAGTGCCAGCTCATGAATTTTTGGGCACCTGACTCGTGATTTTTGAACACCTGGGTTTGGTGATACTGCACCTTGTAAGAGGCAGATTCTGGCCTTGGATTTTAGCAAATCTCCACCAGCCCCCATCCCTCTTAAGTCATGGTGCCCTGGAGGCACGCGCTAGGCCATCCCAGCCACGTACATGGCTTTTGTTGTGTCCTCTTCTCTCTGTTTGTAAGCTGACTGGTTAGATTGTCAGCTTTTGAGGAGAAGGACCTGCTCGCTATACCTGTCTATAAAGTGCTGTGCACGCTATCAGTGCTATACAAATAGCAACCACAATAACAAGGTATTCATAATTCATGTGTTTTTAGCATTCACTCCCTTCCTGCTTTACTCTTTTATATACACCCTCCAACCACACCGAGGGCATAATTGGGAGGACAATAATATTAATCAATTTCTTATATGCTAAGATGTTCAAAGTGTTTTACAAAATTTAACTAATTAATTAGTGGGTGCATCATTATTATTATCTCCATGTTTCATTTGGGGAAACTGAGGCACTAATGTTAAGGATTTCCAGAGGCAGAGCTGAAAATAGAGGCTCCTAAGCGCCAGTGCCCTAGTCTAACAACCACTAGGACACTCTATTTTAGGAAGGGAACTTGGATAGCTAGGGAAACAGCAATATAAGTGCAACACCTTTGAAGTGGATGTTGTCATTATAATTATGGTTCATTGTCTGTGGAATGCTGCATCGCTTGGGGTGTGTTGTCAGCAGCAGGGATTGACCTTCGGACCTCTGGATTTTAAAGCATGAGATGCCCCTGTCTGAGCTAAAAGGGCCAACTCTGTTAGCCAAGGATGGAGCATGCTCATCAACCTCTAACTGTGACCCAACCACCACTAGCAGGGACAGAGCACTAGGCAGAATGGATGAGGCTGGGTTGCATTTGCATTACAGTAGGGCCTACAGCAGGGGTAGGCAACCTATGGCATTCGTGCTGAAGGCGGCACGCGAGCTGATTTTCAGTGGCGCTCACACTGCCCGGGTCCTGGCCACCGGTCCAGGGGGCTCTGCATTTTAATTTAATTTTAAATGAAGCTTCTTAAACATTTTAAAAACCTTATTTACTTTACATACAACAATAGTTTAGTTATATATTATAGACTTGTAGAAAGAGGCCTTCTAAAAACGTTAAAATGTATTACTGGCACGCGAAACCTTAAATTAGAGTGAATAAATGAAGACTCGGCACACCACTTCTGAAGGGTTGCCGACCCCTGTCCTACAGGCTTGAGCCGAGATTAGAGTCCCATTGGGCTAGGCGCCTCAAAGACTCGCTGCTGTCTGATGTTCTTTGGCTTGCAGAATTCCTAGCAGTGCTCCAGGAGACTGTGGTAGAAAGTTAGTAAAGACAAAATAGATACTCTGTGCTCTGTCAGTTTCACTTTTGCGTTCACAGCCAGTTTCCTTTCCTGAGTCTTACATGCTAGCAGGAAGATATCAAATTTCTCATGGGCTGCTCCTGCAGCCGCCCTGCAGCCACTGGAGGAGTATGGAGATCTGCTGCTGGCTTTGTAACCGTGCCACAGTCAGGGCCGGTGCTACCATTTAGGCAAACAAGGCGGTTGCCTAGGGTGCCAAGATTTGGGGGCGCCAAAAAGCGGTGCCCCCAATTTTTTTTTTACAGCGTTCCTACGCCCCCTCCCCGAGCACGCGGTCGCCGCTCCACTTCTCCAGCCTCCCAGGCTTGCAGCACCAATCAGCTGTTTGGCACCACAAGCCTGGGAGGGGAGGAGAATTAGAGCGGAGCGGCTTGCTTGGGGAGGAAGCGGAGCAGAGGTGAGGTGGGTGGGGAGCTGTCGCACGGCTCCCCGGGCCGGGGGGGTGGGGAGCTGCCGCAGGGGTGCCTCAGGGCGGGGGAGGAGCTGCCGCAGGGCTCCCCACCCCAGCTCACCTCTGCTACCCCCCTCCCCGAGCACATCGTCGCTGTTCCACTTCTCCCGCCTCCCAGGCTTGGGGCACCAATCAGCTGTTTGGCGCCGCAAGCCTGGGAGGGGAGGACAATTAGAGTGGAGGCAGCGTGCTTGAGGAGGTAGCGGAGCTGGGGTGGGGAGCTGCCGTGGGGGGGGCCTCAGGGCGGGGCGGGGGAGCTGCCGCGGGGGGAGGCACCTCAGGGCGGAGGGGGGGCGGGGAGCTGGCCACAGTGCAGGGGCATTCCCCGGTCCCTGTGAATGCAGGGGCATTCCCCAGTCCCTGTGAACACTCATTGCATGGATGCTGAGTGGAAGGGCATCCCTGGACTCAGGGGTGAAAGTGAGCCAGTATGGGCCAGTACAGCGTACCAGTGAGAAACTGGTACTGGCCCATATGCAGCCCACATTAAAGCGCTGCCATGGCTTTAATGTCCTTGCCCCTTTTGCCTCCCCCGTCGGTGGCCCTGCTTTAATGTGGGCTGCGTACGGGCCGGTACCAGCTTCTTACCGGTACGCTGTTCCGGCCCATACCGGCTCACTTTCACCCCTGAGTCCAGGTCGCTGGTCCCCGGCAGGACAGAGCAACAAACAATCTAGCAAGCTCGGGCCCTCAAGCAGGGTGGAGCAATGAACAGGAGCTCAGGACCTCAGGCAGAGCGGAGTACCATACAGTCTAGGGCAGGGGAGGGCAAACTACTGCCTGTGGGCCGGATCCGGCCCATCAGGGCTTTCGATCCGGCCCATGGGATTGCCAGCCTCGTGGCGCAGCGTGGTTAAGGCAGGCTCCCTCCCTGCCCTGGCCCCGCGCTGCTCCCGGAAGCGGCCAGCACCACGTCCCTGTGGCCCCTGGGGGAGAGGCGGGGCAGAGGGCTCTGTCCGCTGCCCTCGCCTGCAGGCACCACCCCCCGCAGTTCCCATTGGCCGGGAATGGGGAACTGCGGCCAATGGGAGCTTCAGGGATGGAACCCACAGGTGAGGGCAGCACGCGGCAGAGACGCCTGCCCCACTCCACCCCCAGGAGCCATTGCCGGACATGCTGGCCACTTCAGGGAGCAGCACGGGGCCAGGGTAGGCAGGGAGCCTGCCTTAGCCCCACTGCGCGCCTCTGCCACCCTGGAGCCACTCGAGGTAAGCGGTGCCGGGTTGGAGACTGCACCCCAAACGCCTCTTGCATCCTGCACCCCAGCCCCCTGCCCTGAGCCCTCTGCCACACCCCACACCCTTCCTGCATCCCAGCCCCCTACCCTGAGCCCCCTCCTGCACCCCGCATCCCTCCTGGACCCCAATCCCCTTGCCCTGAGACCTTTCCCGCACACCGCACCCCCTCCCACACCCTGCACTCCCTCCCCCCCCCAACCCCCCTGCCCCAGCCCTACATTCATGGCCCTGCATACAATTTCCCCACCCAGATGTGGCCCTTGGGCCAAAAAGTTTGCCCACTCCTGGTCTAGGGGCTCAGACCCTCAGACAAGGCAGAGCACCAAACAGATAGTCTGACATCCTG